TTGTTGGCGTATAAATTTGACATATTTTATTTTATTAGATTTGACATATTATTATTAAACTTTATAATTATTATCATATTATCAATAAATACATTGACATTAGCTTTGGGTAGTTTTGTATTATTATAAACGTATTAAAAATATGTTGTGTTCGAAATCAAGGTAGTCGCGATAATGCACAAGTGAAATCAAGGTAGTCGTGACGAGTCGGCGGTAGTTGCGATAACGCACAAGTACCGAAATTTTTTAAAAATATTGATTAGAACAAAAGTTATTTTATTTGTCAGAATGTCAGATCTCTGTGGGACACCCTGTATTATGTTATATAATAATACTGTTAGCATATTACTTCTTCTAAAAATCTTATTTCTCTTAAAGGATCCTCCAACTCTGGAAGTGCTTCCTCTTCTTCCATTGTAGTTTCATCGTCTGGTTCATCTACTTGTTCATAATCTTTGTCTTTACTTAAATCATCAACAAGTAGTGAATCATTATCTTCAATGTTATCAATATTATCATCTGCAAAAAATATAGGTATGAACTTACAGTGTTTAAAATTGCATTAATTATTTATTATAAAATGAATTACTTATTGATTGAGATTCTTCAACTTTAGCGACAACCTAAAAAATGGAACATTTATTAGCATAGATACATAAAGTTATTGCGTACAATCTACAATAATAAAATGTTTAAATAAGGACCAAGACTTTTAAATTGATTGCAAGTATTTAAATTGAAGGCTCTTTAACTAAGAAAAGAATGAAATGTTTTCCTATAATATTTATAAGGATCTTATTCTTATGCAGATAATTAAACCTTGTAAAATAATTAAAAAAATCTTTTTGTGCACTTCAATTGTCAATTTAGAACTTTTTTTATAGATTGAATGATTCTATTTTAAATGTCATTAAGGTTAAAAACAAGAACTATTTTTATCACGTTAATATATTAAACAATGTAAGAGCATAGTATTATAAATGTATAACTGTAATATCAATGAAATTATTATAATTATACACAATACCTACAAATAACTACATAAATGTAAGTAAAATATCTAACATAAGTTGTATACATACTAGATATGTTATGTSAGACATAAAGGTATTAACAAAACTTTTATTGGAGTGAAAAAATACAAACTAAAATTATTATCAGAAAAAACTCGATATTTGGTTAAAAAAAAATAAACAATTATTATAAGGCAAAATTGTATTGAGTGAGCAACATTTTTTACTCAATAGTAACCTGTACGAGTGCGTGAATGACCACATCAAGTACTGGAGTTTTATTAGCTCACATCGGTGTAGCACCGCCCCAACCAATCACACAAATATTTGTTGAAAATCATAACCCACAACTTGATGGATGAGGTAGAGTGTACCTAGTATGCCCGACGAAAACATTTCAATCAGGAGACCAGACCCGACTCGACGCGAGCAGATAGGTACCTCACCTTTTTATATTTTCTTCCATTTCGTGWTACCTATTCCTCTGACCACCGTGCACACAATGGTGATGGTACCTAATTGGCGGGTGTACCATCCGATCCGCCCCGGGGTTGTAGATCGTACGGTCTTGTAACCGAATAACGCGACTGAACAACTGCGGCCCACCTACCCACTCTATCGATCATTATCGCAATGGTTGTTGTCGTACATAATAAATTGTTTACAACGATATTTAACATTGTTTACCTCGTCGTCGGCCATGGCGGATGAGGCAGAGGATCGGGATTGCGTCAGTCGCGGCGGAGTCCCCGTTCGAGGGCGTAGACAAACAAATGGCAGCTGTCTAACAACCGTGGCGGCGGCGGCGGCGGCGGCTGCTTAGCGCTTGTGCAGTGGACACGAAAATGTTAAGAGTAGCGTCGGGAGCAGAGAGCCTGACCTGACACCGTCGGCTGGCGTAGTGGCGAATGCCTGGCGGTTGGCGCGCTGTTGTC